CAGGAGGCTGAGATCTGAGGATTGTGGTTCAAAGCCAGCTGGGGCAGGAAAGTCCATGAGACTCATCTCCAATTAACCACCAGACACCAGAAGTGGCGCTGTGGCTCAGGTGTTAGAGCCCTTGCCTTGAGCTGAAGAGCTGAGGGACAGCTCCTAGGGCCAGAGTTCAAGCCTTATGACTGACAAAAAAAAAAAAAAAAGATTAATCAAAACACAACCAAGGTGCCTGCTAGACAGGATCTCCTAAAGCAGGTACTGTACTTTTTTTGTTGTTGTTGGTCATGGGGCTTGAGCTCTGGGCCTGGGCGCTGTCCCCCAGCTCAAGAGGCTAAGATCTGAGGATCTTGGTTTGAAGCCAACTTGAGCAGGAAAGTCCAGGAGACCGTTAGCTCCAATTAACCAACAAAAAGCCAGAAGTAGAGCTTTTGGCTCAAGTGGCAGAGCACCACCCTTGAGAGAAAAAGCTAAGGGGCAACACCCAGGTAGTGTGCATATACAATACACACACACACACACACACACACACACACACACACACACAAACAACAAAACAAAAAATACAGAAAAGCCTGGTAAGTGCAATTTTTTGAATAACGGTTTATTTAAAAGCACATCCCTTGACATCCCACTAAACAAACTTCTTTTCTTGGCTTCTTTCCTTCTATCTGTGATGCTATCAGCCAGAGCTCCCAGACTTAGACCTTGTAGCCAGCTTTGGTTGCTTCTTATTCCCTCGGCCTGGTTACTCAGTGGATCTCAGACCTCAGTTAGGACAACCTCAAATCTGTTCCTTTCTTGTCTGCAGTGCTAGGCATGCAACCAACCCAAGGCCTCACTTGTGCTAAGGCTTAGCATTGGTGCTTAGTAGCTAAGCATATGGTCTACTGCTGAGATTCCTCCCCTCCTTCCCTCCCTCTCTTCGTTTTCTTCTTCTCCTTCCTTGTCTTTTTCTTGTTCTCCTTCCTCCTCCCCCTCTTCTTCCTCCTTCTTCTCTTCCCTCGTCCTTCCTTCCTTTCTTCTTGTCTTGCTTTGTTGCCTAGGCTGGCTTAAACTTGAGATCCTCCTGCTTCCACCTCCCAAGTGCTGGGATTGCAGGAATGAATGCACTACCATGACATCAGGTCAGTTACAGCAGTTACTCTGCCAGTTCAGCATTATTGGAGCCATATCCTACTATGTCTCCTTGATATTAGTTTCTTGTTCTTCCTTCCCTACAGCTGGTGTGACGTTTCACAAACGCTACTTATATCATGGCCCTCCCTTCTCATTACTCAAGATTGTCTCAGCTCTACTGCTAAGGGAGTAGAGCCCATCTCCTCCTTTTGCTTGCTGGAGTATAACAGGGGACACCTGGGAGGTGTTGTGCAAGTTTCTGATAATGAGAGAAATCTTTATGGCGAGGGACTGTCCACACTGTCCTCTATGGAGTCTTCCTTTCCTCTCCTTTTTTGCCACTTTAGATCAGAAGTTTTGGAGCACTTGAAATTTCATGGTGCTGAATTTAGAGACAGGAAGAGGCAGCCAGAGGCGATAAAATATGGCTCAGGAAACTTCCACTCTGAATCCCTCCCAATTTTCTGGGGCCTGCTACGTAGGAGGCGCCATGGAGAGAAGCATATTGGTTCTTAAGTTCCTTCTCCCAAGAACCAAACAGTGAAAAACTTTCATTTTAACTGTTTGCTTTACTAAAAAAGAAGGGGAAAAGGGGGAAGGAGAAGCAGCAAAGGGGTTGAAGTAGAGAACAAAGCCCCAGTGATGGAAGCCCTTTGGGTTGGGGGGGCTGGGTGGAGGGTAGTTGGAGGAGACCACAGGCTCCGCCAACCTGATTGAATGATGGCATATGGCCGTCTGTCAAGTGTGCTCCACTGGGAGTGTGTGGGGGTGAGACATGTGAGGGTAATGAACCTGCCAGATGGTAGTTACCGCCACTAGCTCTTGGAGGATCCACTCACTAGGAGCTATGAAAGTGGGATTCCTAGCTGCAGGGAGGTGCTGTCTGGAGCCAAACATTTTGGCAAAGTAGTATGAAGAGGCTCTTTTTTTTTTTTTTGGTCCGGTAGTGGGGCCACTTCCGGCTTTTTTCTTCTTGCTTATGTGGTGCTGAGGAACCGAACCCAGGGCCTCATGCATGCAAGGCAAGCGCTCTATCACTGAGCCACCTTCCCAGCCCTGAAGAGGCTCTTATATTGTCTCACCTCATTCCTATTTATTTATTTATTTAGTCTGTCACGGGGCTTGAACTCCAAGCCTGCGTGCTGTCCCTGAGCTATTTTGCTCAAAGTGAGTGCTCTACCACTTTGAGCCACAGCACCACTTCTGGTTTTCTGGTGGTTCGTTGGAGATAAGAGTCTCAGACTTTTCCTGCCCAGCCTGGCTTTGAATTGTGATCTTCAGACCTCAGCCTCCTGAGTGTGTAGCTGGGATTACAGGAGTGAGCCACGAGTGCCTGGCACTCCATTCTTTTTAATGTGAAAATGCCCTTCGACGGACCTAGTTTAACATCAGGTCTAGTCCAGGTAAGATGGTGCAAGCCTCTTGGTACTACTCATTCCTTTGGGGTTACTCCTGGCATCTTTCTCCTTATGGAAAGCTTTGGTGCAGCCCCACCCAACAGAAAGGCTTCTTCCAAAGCCCATAATTCCTGTCTAGCTCTGCTGTCTCACAGTTTCCTTTCCTGTTCCTTCTGCCTTCCCCTTCTCCACTCTGACCGTTGGCAGTCGACATGTTTCTTGAGTACTTGCAGGCCATATGTGTCCTTTCCTCCTGGCTCCTTGGAAACCTGCCCTGGTTTGAACTTCTCTCTGGTTTTGTAAAACCATTAGCCACACCATGCTTTAGGCCTGCAAAGCTTTGGGCCTTGCAGGCAAAGCAAAGTCCCTAGCCTTTCCAGGGTTGGGAGTGGTGTGGCCGATCCTTGTGGAGTCAAGGGAATGGGGAAACTTGGAGACAGTAGGAGGGAGCCACACATATTCTGTGGCATTCTGGGGTTAGTGTGGGTCCAAGGACAACCTCCCAGTGCAGTGGAAAGGAGAGCTACTGTTAACTGAATGGTTTCTCCATGCTAGACACTCTACTGTATGCTCCAGGAGCATTAACCTATAGAATCTGCTCACTAAATACTAGTTCCTGCTTGGCACTTGTAGCTCACATCTGTAATCCTAGCTACTCAGGAGGCTGAGATCTGAGGAACACAGTTCAAAGGCAACCTAGGCAAGAAAGGCTGTGACACTCATCTCCAATTAAGCATGAAAAAACTAGAAGTGGCTCTGTGGCTCAAGTAGTAGAGCACTAACCTTGAGCAAAAAAAGCTCAGGGACAGTGTCCAGGCCCTGAGTTCAAGCCTTAAAGCCCTGGAGAAAACACACACACACACACACACACACACACACACACACACACACGTTCCTGATTTTTATCATGGAGAAACTTATTGAGTAACTTGTCACAGGTCACAAGCTAGATGATGGCAAACCTGCCTGATTTCAAAGCTCTCTGTGTGTGTGTGTGTGTGTGTGTGTGTGTGTGTGTGTGTGTGTGTGTGTGTGTGTGTGCGCGCGCGCAGCGCGCATCAGCCCTGGGGCTTGAACTCTGGGCCTGGGTTCTATCTCTGAGCTTCTTTTGCTCAAGGCTTGCTCTCTAGCTCTACCATTCTTGAGCCACAGCTCTACTATTGGCTTTTTTTCTTTTTTGGTGTAGTAGTTAGTTACAGGGTTTGAAGTCAGGGCCTGGGCACTGTTCTTAAGCTCTTTTGCTAAAGGCTAGTGCTCTACCACTTGAGCCACAGCCCCACTTCTGTTTTTTTTAAGAGTCTCTCAGGGACTTTTCTGCCTTGGTTGGCTTCAGACCTTCATTCTCAGATCTCAGCCTCCTGGGTAGCTAGGATTACAGGTGTGAGCCACCGGTGCCCGGCTAAGCCTGTGTTCTTTTTTTTTTTTTTTTTTTGTCGGTCGTGGGGCTTGAACTCTGGGCCTGGGCGCTGTCCCTCAGCTCTTCAGCTCAAGGCGAGCGCTCTACCACTTGAGCTACAGCGCCACTTCCAGTTTTCTGGTGGTTTATTGGAGATAGGAGTCTCACCGTCTTTCCTGCCCGGGCTGGCTTTGAACCGCGATTCTCAGATCTCAGCCTCCTGAGTAGCTAGGATTACAGGCGTGAGCCACCAGCGCCCGGCGTCAAAGCCTGTGTTCTTAATGTGTGTACCCTGACACTTTTCTAGATAGATCCTCAAAGTGTACATCCTAGAGGATTCACTTTATTTTTAAGGTCATTGGAAAGTTTGCTGAACACTTACACATAAACCACGCCTATTATGTGTACAAGTAGCTGATTTGACTTTCTCCCTCACCTCTAAGATTAGCTATATAATTTTTTTTTTTTGTCAGTCATGGTGCTTGAAGTTGGGGACTTGGCACCGTCCTTGAGCTCTTCAGCTCAAGGTGAGCGCTCTACCACTTGAGCCACAGCGCCACCTCTGGTTTTCTGGTGGTTAATTGGAGATAAGGGTCTCACGGATCTTCTTGCCTAGGCTGGCTTTGAACTGTGATCCTCAGAGTTCAGTCTCCTGAGTAGCTAAGATTATAGGTGTGAGCCACCAGCACCTGGCTTTAGCCATATCATTTTGTAGGATGGACATAGGATGGAACTGAATCTCAGAGACATTACCCACTTCATAAGCGATGCAGTCAGAATTGCACCCAAGTCTGGGTTCCACCAGTACCAGTGTTCTCTTTTCTGACTTTCCCCTCCTTCCCCATTGAGCCTCTTTTGTAGTTTCTCTGTCTGGAACCTCATTAATGTTTGTTACTGAGCTTACAGGATGCCGGCACCCAAGCGTCCATGACTTCCAAGTTGATGGATGACCATTTTCTTTGAAGTCAGGGAGTGGCTGAGTGAAGAGAGGGGGTGGGGTGGGGTTACTTCCTTCTATGTGCATGGAGAATCGAGACCTAGATTGCTTCTAAGCACATTTTTTATGTTCTCCCCTCTCTCCTCTCTTAAATCAGGGTGAAGGTTGCCGAACTGTCCCCCTGGCTGGACATGTGGGGTTTGACAGCTTGCCTGACCAGCTGGTGAATAAGTCAGTCAGCCAGGGCTTCTGCTTCAACATCCTGTGCGTGGGTGAGTTATTTCCATAGCAGGAAATTCTATTGCAGAATATGGACCCTTAATGGTGGCTGGATGTGGCTTTGCAGGTAATTAGGTTCAATAATGTGTCATTCTGATCTAGTTGCAAGAACTTCCCCGCCTCCCCCCTTCTCCTCTTAGCTCTCTGCTCGCTTTTAAAGCAGCCAGCCATAATTACATTTTTTTTTTTCCTGGCTAGACCAGAGTCTGGACCTATACCTTGGGGGAAACAGGGCTGTGTAAAACCCAGTGGAAACTCTTTGAACAGGGGGCTAGGCTGCTCACGGACTGCTGTCAGGTTCATCCTGATTGAAGAAGACATGAACCAGGTCACAATTGAGAGATTATGATGGCCGAGGAAAGAAAAATGGCTGCTCACCAGCTCTGAGAAGGGTGTTGGGCATGTTGCTTCCATTTGTAGCTCCTTTAGCCTTGGTACAAGTGAGATCACCCATGGGGTGTGCTGAGATCTTTAATTCCCCTTAACTGTATCTCTCTGCCCTACACCTTTAATCTCATCTCATTTGCGGGAGCCACATCTTTTAGTTGTTATTGTTTTTTTTTTAAATTTGTAGAGAGGTTCTCATTTGTTTTAGCTCAGGTCTTTGGATCTTCTTGCCTCAGCCTCTTGAATGCTGGAATTCTAGGTGTGTGCATCATACTCAGCTCAGAAGCCACATCTCAGTCCCCTCTATATGTTCATAAAGAGAGTTCAGTATTTGTGAAATGAATGGATGAGACAACTCCACAGGAACAACTCATTTAGTTCCTCACTCTTTCATATTAGCTAATTAGGTCCTTAGTCTGCAAAGTGAACAGAACAAGTAGCGTTTATATCCTTGTAGAACCCAGGAACACAGGACTTGGGAAAGACAAAGGATTTACCTAACCAGGCAACAAAGAAAACATGGCAGAGCCATAACACAGACCCAGGCCTGGCCTTCCTGTTTCTCTTACTGCCTTTCCAGCTGCTGCCAACAATATCTTTGGAGAACACGATAGCACTTTGGAAAGCATCAAGTACCAATCATGCAGCCACGAGGAACAACAGTTCCTTGATATTCTTTAAGAATGTCTCCTTAGACCTTAGAAACCCCAAATTTGCAAACACAATCATATAATTTTCACCCCACAGTGCAGGAAAGCAAACCTGTGTATTTTCAGTGACTTCCTTCTGAACCTTAATGATTATATAAATACCATAATAAAGTCAGTTTTCATACTGGCTGGAACACTCAAACACTTTGGCTAATTGCTTTTGATTATTTTTGTAGAGATTGTATAAGTAACTCATTCATGGTATAGCTCAGAACCAACCATTGCATTGAATATTGTACTCTTAAAAATTCTTTTTTTGCCAGGCGCCAGTGGCTCATGCCTATAATCCTAGCTACTCAGAAGGCTGAGATCTGAAGATCACGGTTCAAAGCCAGCCCGGGCAGGAAAGACCATGAGACTCTTATCTCCAATAAACCACTCAGAAAACCAGAAGTGGTGCTGTGGCTCAAAAAAAAAAAAGAATTCTTTTTTTTTCTCACTTAAGGTTTAAAAATTCTTTTTTTTTTCTCACTTAAGGTTATGATCTTCCTTCCTTCCTTCCTTCCTTCCTTCCTTCCTTCCTTCCTTCCTTCCTTCCTTCCTTCCTTCCTTCCTTCTTTCCTTCCTTCCCTCCTTCCTTCCTTCCTTCCTTCCTTCCTTCCTTCCTTCCTTCCTTCCTTCCTTCCTTCCTTCCTTCCTTCCTTCCTGAACTTAGGGCCTGGGCACTGTCCCTGAGCTTCTTTTGCTCAAGGTTAGCACTCTACCACTTGAGCCACAGTGCCACTTCTGGATTTTTCTGTTTATATGGTACTGAGAATTGAACCCAGGGCCTCATGCATGCTAGGCAAGCACTCTACCACTAAGCCACACTCTCAGCCTCAAGCTTATTATTTTCTTGGGCCTTTTTTTTTTTTTTTCTTCTCCCTTCCTTTACTCTTTCCCATGTCATTTTCTGTAAGAGAATCACTGCACACTCAAGGACAAGTAGAAAATAACAAAGTGACTTCTAAATATGGAGGGCAGACAAGTCAACCTAGGCTCACTCACTAGCGATATGACTCTTTTCCATGTCTCAGATTCAGAACCTATGACATGAAAATATATGTTTTACACACTTACACATTTAGGGGCTTTAGAGTCCAGATCAAGCCTACCAACCTTTTGAATTCTGAAAGTCTAATTCATAGTAACATTTAGGAGTTATGTGTAGGTGCTATTAGGATGGAGGAAACAAAACAAATCGAAGACAGAATGATTGGCATCAAGAGCAAATGCCATCACATCCCATATTAGCACCACCAAATCTCTATTTAACAAGATCTCCAATCTTTGGCTGGTGGCCACCTTCTTTCCCCTAATATTTGATTACTGAAATATTCCAGCACAAACATATCAGATTCCCTTGGCATTCCTCCCAGAGCTTCCTCCATACGACCTGTGCTGAAGTTTGAGATGAGAAATGACCAAAATTCACCCAAAGCAACATTTCAACCAAGTGTACAACTGGGTGGGCCCTGGAAAGCTTCAGGATCCAGACTCTGTGAAGCAGAATGGCTCTCGATGGCAGAAATATGTAGGGGGACATGACATGGAGATCACAGGCTCTTCTGGGGTCCAAAGGAAAAGGCAGCCAAGACTAAGACAAAGTGCCTGGAAAAATAGTAACTCCCCTCCCCCTTCCTACTTCCCACACATGCCTTATCCAACTACAGCTGCTTAAACCTGCACCTGCTGGGATGGAATAGCTGGGGGGGGGGGGGCCGCCAGGACAGGACAGTCCCTCCAAGAGGGGAGGAGGAAGAAGGAAACCCTCACATCCTTAAGCGCTCTCTCTCTCTCTCTTTCCATATACATATTTGTCAAGTTCTAGGAAATGGCCGCCCCAGTAACTCCTCTTAGACCTGTGTGTGGAGCCATTGGGTAGTCCCACCTGGATGGGGTTAATCTTTTTATTTTTATTTTAATTTTTAATTGCTATTATGAAGGTACAGATGGGTTATATACATCAGGTAATGAGGCCATTTCTCCAGTGAATGGGGTTTAATCTTATGCTCATGTACCCTCCTTTTGCTTGAGCCAAGGTCACAGCAGCATAGAGTGGCTGAGACTGCAGTCTCAGCCTAGCCACAGTGCTGGGTTGTCACTGACTTGGCAAAGAGGCAGTAGCTTGGCTGGTGAAGGTGATCTTTCCTCTTAGAGGACTTTGAGAGCAGGTGTTCAAGCCTATTGCCTGTGCGTAACTGTCAGGTGAACTTCCTTAATGACTGCTATAAAACCCTTCTGTTTGGACATAAAATGTATTCCCTCGAAGTATTTTTAACATAAAATTGAGACAATGCTAGTTTGCATTATTAACTGAGAGCTTTGTTCTCTTTTCTACATTATTTCTCTTGATACTCATGTCCAGCAGAGTATCTGATCTACAGATGTGTGTGTGTGAGTGTGTGTGTGCGTGCGTGTGTGTGTGCGTGTGCGTGTGTGCGTGCGTGCGTATGTGAGTGTGCATGCCAGATTGTTGAAATTGAGAGGGACAATTTTTATGAATCTAGAGCCTGATTTATACTAAGAGTACCCATAAGTGGTTCCCATAATTATTACTTTGAGCTGTGCACATTGGTGTGAACATATTGTAACTCAGGTCCAGTAGACTCTCTGAGGCTGATGATAATTAGAGTGGGTTGAGATTCCTCTTCCTCCATCAGAAATCATTTCAAAGGGGCTGAGAAGGTGGCTCAGAGGTAGAGTGCTTGGCTTGCATGCATGAAGCCTTGGGTTCGATTCCTCAGCACCGCATAAGCAGCAAAAGAAGTGGCGCTGTGGCTCAAGTGGCAGAGCACTAGCCTTGAGCTGAAGAGCTGAGGGACAGCACCCAGGCCCAGAGTTCAGACCCTATGACTGACCCCCCCCCCCCCAAAAAAAAAAAAAATCATTTCTGAGCCAGGCACTGTTGGCTCATGCCTTTAATCCTAGCTACTCAGGAGGCTGAAATCTGAGGATCAAAGTTTGAAGCCAGCCTGGGCAAAAAAGGCCTGCTGTGAGATTTTATCTCCAATGAAGCACCAAAAGCCAGAAGTGGAGCTATGGCTCAAAGTAGTAGAGCACTAGCCTTGAGCACTAGTGTTCAGGGACAGTGCCAAGGCCTTGAGTTCAAGTCCCTGGATAGGCACCAAGAAAATTCTATCTTAAGCTAGGTGTTGGTGGCTCATGCCTATAATCCTAGCTACTCAGGAGGCTGAGATCTGAGGATCAGGGTTCAAAGCTAGTATAGGCAGAGAAGTCCGCAGGAGACTCATCTCTAACCACTCAAAAACTGTAAGTGGTGCTGTGGCTCAAATGGTAGAGAGCTAGCCTTGAGCACAAAGAGGCTCAGGGACAGCGCCCAGGCCCTGAGTTCAAGCCCTACAACTGACCAAAAAAATACTATTGGAACTGGGAATGTGGCTTAGTGGTAGAGTGCTTGCCTAGCTAGCATGCATGAAGCCCTGAGTTCGATTCCTCAGTACCACATAAACAGAAAAAGCCAGAAGGGGAGCTGTGGCTCAAGTGGTAGAGTCCTAGCCTTGGGCAAAAGAAGCTTGGGATAGAACTGGCAAAAAAAAAAAAGTCCTATCTTATTCTTTAGCTTCAGAAAATTGTGAAGATCCCATGATTGTATTTGTTTGTTTGTTTTTGTCGCTTGTGGGGCCTGAACTCTGGGGCTGGGCACTGTCTCTGAGCTCTTCAGCTCAAGGCTAGTGCTCTACCACTTGAGCCACAGTGCCACTTCCAGCTTTTTCTGCTTATGTGGTGCTGAGATCCCATGATTGTAGATGTGATTATAGGAGGCCTCAAAGGAGCTGCCAGACCCCACAGTACATGTGTTCTGGGACCCATTGCTTTATACCTCTGGGGACAATTCATTCACATGTGGCAACAATAGGAAGAGCTGGGAGAGGAGCACAAAGGGTTATAATGAT